GGGAGGCCTGGGAGAGGGGGAAGAGGTCTTTGGTGAGGGAGAGTGCTCACATCCCTGCAGCCTGTACACTCTCTCTCCCTGGTAGGGCCGTGGGCTCTGAAACAGTATCCAGGCATCCTAGGGACCTCAGTTCAGAGCCTCCTCTATGGGCCCGACAGGAGCTCCACCTGAAGGCCCGCCCCAGTAGGTCCAGTTACTAGGATACTGGGGATAAAGCATTTCCTGCCTAGATGTCTTGGCAGCTCCCACTGCCATGGAGACCACTGGGAGCTGAAGGAGCTGTTGGCACCCAGAAAGCAGCAGCAGAAGAAGAAAGTGGTCTTGGACTAGCTGAGCAAGTGGGTGAGCAGGGGCCAGACCTGAGCCGGGAGCCAAGCCCACCTACTCAGCAATTCTCACATGCAGTTCCCAGGTGGGAGCCGAGGAGAGAAGCAGCAGGAGGGGGGGTTCAGAGACCCACGATCTGCCTGTCTCCTTTCCGCAAGCCATGTTTATCACTGTGATGTTTGGAGGTAAGCAGGGTCCCCTGTCCCGGAACAGGGGCCATACTCAAGAGTTGTTCGTCCCTCTATCCTAGAGAACCCAGGGAGGGGAGGTACAGGCTGGGAGGGGCATGGGAATTTGAGGAAGCTGTTCCTATGAGGAGCCAAAGCAATGCCAGTTGTGGTCTCCAGTCCTCTACACAAGAGATGGATGGAAGGCTCTCCAATGCAGTTCAAACAGCATTTGCTTAGGGTAATAGGCCTGAAGCACAGTGTTCTGGTCCATAATCCTAGTGTTACCTCTAGGCATGGGAGTGAACGTTCTCCTTGTTGGGGGAGGCCCTGACATCCTACCCACTCCGCTATGACCCTCCCTCAGCTGACTGTCGCGTGCTAGTAAACTCCTGGTGCAGCCTGGTGACCTTCATTGTGCATCTGAAACAGAAGGCTCAGGTGCCCCCAGAAGGTGAAAAGACCTGGAGGGCCTGGGGGGGAGGGGAATCTCAGGGTCCCATGCCCGGGTGCAGCCTGCCCAGCTTATTCCCATTTCTGCCCAGCAACCATTGCTCTCCTGGCTGAAGACGGGCACCTGGTGAGGCTGGAAGAGGGGATGGTCCAGGCCCCTTCCATGGCCTGTTCCCTACTGCAGGAGCAAGGGACCTATGTCCTTGTACGGGCCATTAGTAAGTAGAGACCAAGACTCTCCTTTGCAGCTATGCTGGACTATACAGCGGGGACAGCGGGCCACAGGCCAGCTAAGATCCTGTTCAGTCTCAGCCTTGACTGGGTCCTATACCTAACCATCCCTATCCCGTACCTAGGCCAGGTTTCTATGGGAACCACCAAGACAGTCTAGAGTCCTTGGTTCTCTCTATACTCTGCAGGAGGGAAAGATGGGGCTCCCACTCACTATGAGTCTCTACTGGACAACCTAGATGACCAATACCCAGAGTTAGCAGGTGAGTATCAAGATAAATGGGGTGGGGGTGCATCTACCCAGCTCCCAGCAACAGGATTTCCTGGGTCTTCCAGAGGAGTTGTGCTGGCTCTCCGGCTTGCCAGGCACAAGCCACAGTCAGAGAAGACGCACGGGCGTTCGGCGTGGCCACAGGGAACAAGGTCCCCCTTCAAGGTCTCGGAGGGTGGCCTCCCTCCCATCTAGAAACCGCTAGCGGGAGCCATAGCCAGGTACAGAAAGAGTTACAGAAACCCAGGAAGTTCCAAAATGGGGAGCCCTTCCTGAGAGACATGTGCGCTGAGGGGTACAGCCTTCACACATATACACACCCAGGACAGTACACCCCACGGAGATAAGTAAGCCCCACTATACTGCCAGAATATAAGCATCCTAAAGGCAGGATTGCTCTGTGTTTAAGATGCAGGTCCACATTTCTCCAGCCTGGCACACACTTAGGGGCTCAATGCATTGCTGCTGACTGAACCCAGTGAGTGATGAAGCGGTCTGTGCAGGGGTCTGAAGGGCCTACTTCCGTTCCAGCCAGGTCCTATGACCTGGCGCACCACAGCCAAGTGGCCCAGCTGGACTTGGATCCAAGGGGACTGGTCCTGACCTCTGCATTATCATCAACTGCAAACACACAGCCGTCCAGCAGGACTCCTCTTTCAGAATCTGGCGTTACTAAGAAGTTACATCAGCAAGAAGGGAAAGGTCACAGACAGGATGTGTGGCGCACCCCCCCACCTCCCCGCCCCACATTTGAGTGCAGAGAAAAGGATCCAAGGACAAAAACAAGAAGACTGAGGGGGCAGATGTCCCTGTGGGGCAGTGACAGCAGGCTTCTCTTGAGGGTTCGGGGCCCGGGGGAGTAAGGCCCTTGGGTCGGCTGCAAATGCCTCGCCCCCTACCCCACTTGGAGAGCCCCAAAGTAATCTGTCCTTGGCTATCCACAGTGCAGATTGTAACAGGGTTCCCCCCACCCCACCTCAGAGGTTCAAGGACAGCCCAGGATTACACAGCAGGAGAGAGCTATTCATTCTCTCTCTCCCTACACACACACACACACACACACACACACACACACACACGCACGCACGCACGCACGCACGCAGATGAGGCACTGCACACTCATGAGACACTCAGTCACCTATCTCCGCTGATCCCATCTCCCACCAGACAGGGCAGTCTGTGGGCACACAGTAGGCTGTGGTCTAAAGTAAACTCTTTAATTGAGCATGTATGTCTTTTGTGAATCTGTAGGGTGAGAATTACCCTCCTTACTCCCAGTCCCAGGTACAATCGCATCTTGGTCAGGCTGTCGGTGAGGGGTTAGGGTAAGTAAGAACAGGCCCATGGCCTCCTCAGGGCAGGGAGCTCAGACCTGTGGAAGGAAGGAACCACAGCACAAACTGGTGATCAGCAGAGTCCCAGAGGGTCTGCCCTTCCCAACCCCACCCGTGCCGCCCCAGCTGCTCACCGTGATTGTATTTGCACTGCTTCAGGGCCTCGCTGAAGCCCTCGCACAGGGTTAGGTCACTCTGAGTGGTGGAGCAATCCAGGAACTGCTTGATCTCATAGGAGCAGGGCCCCATCTGTAGGGGGTAAGAGGCAGGACGGGCAGGGGCCTAGGGCAGAGTATAAGAGGCAACGCTGTCAGCTCAGGGTTGGTACCCAGAATGAAGTACCAAAGTTAGAGGCTTCCTGCCTCTCCCCACATCCATAGACCTGGTTCCCCAAGAATGGTTCAAGGCAGACCAAGTGACCTGAGACTAGATTACCCCAGTCCAGCCTCAGCTGCAACCCTGGCAGAGGATGAACCAGGGGCCCTCTCTAGGTGGTCACTTACAGAATCAGACAGGCTTTTCTTTCTGACTCAAAGTGGATATGCTGGGCGAATGTAGGAGGGAGAAGAGAAAGTTCTAGAAGAAGCTGTACACTGCATGTGTACACAGAGTGTATGTCCTACTCCAAGACACAGCACCTTCCTGGCTCAGCCACACTGATCTCATGACTCAGGACACACTGCTAACTAGCATCCAGGTTTGGCTCAAGACCGGCGGTGGGGAGTGGCAGAACCCTAGTGGAGCACAGGTCACCAGGGAACAGATGTCCTGATGGCAGGCTTGGCTTTGATGAGAACAGGGGCTTGGGAAACACCGCCTGTCTCCCTGCTCACTAGGGTTGGATGTCCTTGGACAAGTCTTTGGGCTCCTCTGAGCTTGCGATTTCTCCATCTTTCAAGGTCTAGTGGGTGTCAGTGTCTGGCAGTCAGACATTTTGCCCTCAAACGTGGGCTGGGGAGAGCTTTCCAGCTAGGGACAGTATGCTTAACAAGCATGAGGGTTAGGACCCTCTTTCGGTCAAAGTTCTGGGCCCGAGGCAACGCTGAACGCACTGGGTCACCCCTCGCTGGACATTTAAGCGGATCCCTTTGTATCCTTGAGCGAATACACGTCTCCGTTTCTCCTGCGTTCTCTCGCTCACCTGCTGGACCGCAGGCTGAGCAGGCTCCGAGCTTCCCCCACTGAAGGCGCTGGTCAGGGCATTTCCCATGACGTGCCCTACAGCCGATCCCACAGCTACGCCAGCAGCGGTGGATGCCATCTGAGCCATGAGGCCCGGCTGGCCGGAAGCGGCAGGTGCCGGGGCGGCCGCTGAGGGCGGTGGGTGCGCAGGAGGGTGGGCTGGGCGGCTGCCGGAAGCAAGGGGAGGCAAGGTTAATGCTCTGGGGACAAGCCCCTCTGCTCCCCCGTCTTAGACTCGCGTTTCTGTGCCCCCGTCCTCCCCGAGGCCAATATGGCGCAGCAGCCTCCAAGGTCATTCTGCGGATGCCCTTGGGAGAGTCCCCACGCTTCCCTCACCCATTCCCACGGGGTGCCCGTCCCCCTCACACCTGGCCGGCCTGGCAGCCGTGCTGCGACTTCCCCGAGGCATGACAGTGGTAGGACCAAGGAAGAGCAGAGAAATAAGCGTGGACCGAAGCAACCACTCAGTGCGGGAACTAACTCTTCAACGTCCGACGAGTCAGGTGAAACGGGAGGGATCTGGGGCGGGGCCTTTGGGGGCACGCCCATAAATGGGAGGGGAAAACCTCCCCCTTCTAGAAACCTCCTGGGTTAGGGCCCCTGAGCCATCCTATTGCGGGGCGGAGCTATGAGGGTCCTGGAGACACCAGTCCAAGTTGCCCCAAGGCTTAAGCAGGTGCAGCGAGCAAAGGGCCTTTCTGCTAGGGCCATCGCAGAACCCAAGGGGTTTGTCTCGAGATCGGAGCGAAGAAGAGACACAGACCGTCAGCGGAACAAGGAATGGAGGTTCCAGGACTGGCTTCACTCCCTGACTCGCTGACAACAGCCCTCCCAGGATCGCCAGAGGTCTAGAATCAGTGGTGTGTTATTAGAATCCGAGCTAAGAGGTGCCTCGATCCTTCTTCCACTCTCGCTGCACGCTGGAATCCTTGAGTTATGACTGTCCCAGGTGTGCCCAGCACCCTAAACCCTGAGCCTACCACCCCACAGTCCCCTGGACTCCTGGCATCCTGGGATACATCTCCAGAAACTGGGAGTGCTTTTGAAATAGTCAGACTGTCCCAGAGGTGACCTGAGTTCTTAGAGATATTTACCAGACAAACCAAGGCCTTATCAGTTTTAGCACCGTTGACTTTCTTTTTTTCTTTTTCTTTTTCTTTTTTTTTTTTTTTTTTTTTTTTTTTTTTTTTTTTTTTTTGGTTTTCTGAGACAGGGTTTCTCTATATAACAGTCCTGGCTGTCCTGGAATTTGCTTTGTAGACCAGGCTGGCCTTGAACTCATGGAGATCCTCCTGCCTCTGCCTCCCGAGTGCTGGGATTACAGGTGTGCGCCACTACCATGTCGCCCAAACCGTGTTTCTTTTAGCAGCCTCTGTAGCCAGCCCTCTTCCACCAGGACTTCAGCTCTTTTCTGAAATGGAGTCACCACGTATCCACAGGGTGGATTTCCCGGAGAGGCGAGCAGGCAAAAGATGAGACACTCTTTCCTCAGAGAAATGCCCGGCTTTGCTCGGGACCACTGGCTTCTAGGTCTGGTCTCTGCTTACCAGGTATCCAGTGGACAAATGGTAACCTCTTTCCAGGTTCAACTTCTTCTGCAGGTGTCTGTGGCCAGCCCACCTGGATATATGCACCCATCTACCCTTCCAGATCCTGCAGCAGGGGTGGTAATGCTTTAACCTCTAGCTGGTATGCTGCAGGTCCCTCAAAACACGGCCATGCATCCCTGGCAACACTGAAGGCTGTTTATGTGCAGCACGAATGATTGTTTTAGGGTTTGGGGGTTGTTTTGTTGTTGTTGTTGTTGAGACAGGGTCCCTGTATGTAGCCTGACTGTCCTGGAACTCGCTATTGTAGACCATGCTGGCCTCAAACTTACAGAGATCCACCTGCCTCTGTCTCCCAAGGGTTGGGATTAAAGGTGTGTGTCACCACATCCAGAGAACGGGTTTGTTTGTTTGTTTTTAAGATTTCTTTATTATGTATACACACACCAGAAGAGGGCACCAGATCTCATTACAGATGGTTGTGAGGCACCGTGTGGTTTCTGGGAATTGAACTCAGGACCTCTGAAAAAGCAGCCAGTGCTCTTAACCTCTGAGCCACCTCTCCAGCACCAGTTTGTTGTTAAAGTGCTATGCTTTCATGTGTATCAGAAAATGTATGAACACCTCATCCATTTCATGATTTCTTTCCTTCTTTTGTTGTTTTGTTTTTCAAGACAAGCCTTTTCTGTGTCGCCCTGGGTGTCCTGGAACTAGCTCTGTAGACCAGGCTGGCCTCGAATTCACAGAGATCCATCTGTCTCTATCTCCCAAGTTTGGGGATTAAAGGCGTAGCCACCATAGCCTGACCATTTCATGATTTCTTGACCATTATTGCTACAATGAGGCTGAGCCAGACCTTGAAAGTCTAGACGTGACAATATGTGCTTGTAATTCCAGTATTCAGATAGGCTAAGACCAGAATCTTAAACTGGAGGCCTGCCTGGGCTTCTTGTATGCATAGGAGAATCTGTCATGAAAGAAAGACAGGAAGGAAGGGAGGTAGGAAAGAGGGAGGGAGGAAGAAAAAAGAGAAAAAGAGGGCCAAACAGGAAAGGAAGAGGGAAAAAAATGAAAGAAATGCCAGCCATTAAAAGGTGAGGCTTTTTAAAAGATTGCAGAAGACCAAGTAAAATGCAGTGCTCTCTGGCCCCCACCTTGCAGCATCTCAGGGTCCTGCCTGCCTGCCTGAATCTTAGCTTTGAAGGTTTGCCAATAGAGGCCCCTTGTCATCATGAGGGTTTGTACACTGTGTGAAGATGTATTTGCTGCGATTGGTGTAATAAAAAGTTGAATGACCAATAGCTAGGCAAGAGATGTAGCGGAGATTTCGGGGGAGAGAAAGGAGGAGGAGGACTCTAGGCACAGAGGAGATCCGGAAAGGAAACAGGAGATGAAACTCCACGTGACAGAACGTAGATTAATATAAATGGGTTCATTTAAGTTATAGGAGGGAGTTAGGAACAAGCCTAAGCTGTAGCTGAACTTTCGTAATTAATAATAAGCCTCCGTGTTTGTAAGTTGTGAGCTAGCTGGCGACCCAAAGGAAAGTCTGCCTGCCCAGTTGGGCACCCCCTGCAGAGGCGAGAGTGGATGAACCTTTCCAGCGTGTGAACCCCACTCTCACCTTTGATTCTCTCCTTCATGACTCAGATGGCTGACCTGACTGGTCAGGAAAAGCCCGTTGGCCAGGGCCTGAGCCAGGGGACAACCTGGGCCTCCAGCGCCCCACTCAGACATCCTCTTATGTCTTCCCTGCTCCCAGGCATCTGACCCATTCGTCTGCTAGTACAGGAGTCTGGCCCCTCCCACAAGATCTTCAGTAATTGTCTCCGGTCCACTATTTTTGTGCGTGCATGAGTGTGTGCCTAGGATCCTTGGAGATCCGAAGAAGCCATCAGATTCTAGGATAGTCACCGTGTGGGTGTTAGGAATGGGACCCCGGTTCTCTGCAAGAATGCTTGTTGCTCTTAATCACTGATCTTTCTTTCTAGACCCTGTCTCTGGTTTGTTTGTTTT